GAATATTTTGTTTTTAGTGCATTTTGTTTTGTTTTTAGTGTATTTTGTTTGGAAGTCGGTTTTGTTTTTTTATTAAAAAGTTTATTTATTTGTCGATTTTTAGTGAATCTAAACATCGCAATGTGATAATCGTTAGCTTTCGAACAAAGTATGAGTTATCTAAGAAATTAAGTAAAGAACTAATACATCGTTGCGACCATTCACTCATAATTCTGTCCAGCCGCGCGCCGCTGTTGCCCGTGAGTTTTAATATTTTGATAACTTCTAGAATCTTTGTCAGAATTACATACTGTAAAAGGCAATTATGATCTACATTTAATACTCTATCGTGAAAACATATTCATTTGGATAAGGATTCATACCAATAAGAATAAAAGCGTTTTAAATGAAGTCGATTGCATTTATTTGACGGTTTTCGCGAAACAAACGGTTATTGTGCGAAAACCTTAAGAGATAGATATATGCTATCGCGGACTTTAATGTAGCTAATTGAAAGAGCTACCATTCTTTCATACATCATTTTTATGTAGGTTTTATAGTTTAGGCTACGTAAGCCTAGAAAGAAAACTTTGATACAAGTTGGTATTTTTTTCTGAGACTCGTAATTTGCTAATTATGATATCTCCTAAACTATTGATCGGAATTACACAGTTCCAAGGGCATTTATAATCTACATTAAATTCTCTTGATGATAGACACATTTATTTGGATAAGGATTCATACCGAACACGAGTAATAGCGTTGAAAGTGGGGTGTAAATTTCGAGCGATATTTTAATGAAAAAAGTGGTTATTGTGCGACAACCTTAATAGATAGATATATGCTATCGCGGACTTTTATTTAGCAAATTTAAAGGGCTACAATTCTTCCATAGATCATTTTTATGTAGGTCTTATAGTTTAGGCTACGTAAGCAAAGAACGCAAAAATGACCCGAAATTTCGTCGCGCGATTTTGAGCTAAACTATTTAACTACGTCGTAGTCTTTGACTCCAAAAATCAAACAAAAAAATGGGACCCACCTGCAAGCATTACCTTTCGGATAAAAAATTAACTATCAAAATCGGTCCACTAGCGGCGGAGTTATGCCGTAACACACATAAAAAAAAATAAAAATAAAAAAAAAAAACATACAGACGAATTGAGTACCTCCTTCTTTTGGGAAGTCGGTCAAAAAGAAATTATCTGCATGATGCTAAAAATCACATGGTGATAGGAAAATTTTATAATTTAAATTGATTTAATTTTACTTACTTTCTTAAATCGATATCTACTCGTATATTTTCATCTTCTACATATATAACTTGTAGAATTGGACTCTAAATATCTAATATTAGAAGAAAAATTGCGGATTTCGCAAACATGATATGTTTTCTTTGCTGTTAACAAAAATCGAATTGACATTTTTTTTGTCTGTCTGTCTTTCTGCAAGCCGCGTTTATTCCGAAAACGGCTTGGCCGATTTTGACAAGACGTTTAATGGAGATTAGCTGACATGGACGACCATGTTTGTGGCTACTTTTTTAATTCCGCGCTGTCAAAATGGCGAACGTAATGCTATCTCAGGAACGGGTTTACCGATTTTAACGGGACTTTGATTGGAAGGTAGCTGATAGAAGCTAGATACACGTTGGAATGTTACAGATAATCAATATTTTTTTTTTACTTCCGCGCTAACGAAGTTTGCGAATGACAGCTCGTCATGTTGTGCGTGTTGTAAGTGCATGCCCATCTGTGTCGAGGATCGCCTCGTCACGTCACCGCGCGTGTGCAGGTGCGTGCGCAGACGGCGGAGGCGCGGCGCGCGCTGCGGGAGGCGGAGGCGCGGCGCGGCGAGCTGGCGCGGGCGGAGGCGGCGCTGCGCGAGGTGCGCGACCTCTTCGTGCAGCTGTCGCACCTCGTCGCGCAACAGGTCTCACTTGTGTTCCGGCGCAGCTTAGCTTACTCGTGCAACGCCGACCATTGCTCGCAGCCTTCTGACCTATTCGGATTTATCGTTTATCTTGTAGTCTCATTCCGCGTATTTTTTTTATAACATAAGTTGGTAAACGAGCGAGCTGCCACCTGAATCCACTGAAATGGAAAGCGATTGCTGCCCATAAACATCCGTAATTGCAGATGCGTTGCCTACCCTTAATTGACGGAGTAGGAGACGCAAATAAAGAGGACATTTTCCCTTCCTATGCGTCTCCGCCACCGTCAAATCCACTTTTCCTTCCCATAATTTCCTGTTAAGAAAAGGGTGGAAAGGGACTAAAATTAAGCCACCACACTCATCAGACGAAACGCGGAATTGCTTCCACTTCACGCCTGTTTTCTGTGTGGTCGTGGTATTACACCGGGCGAGCCGACCCTTACGTGCGAAGATGTTAAAGAGGGCTCTACCACTGTTACAAATTTTGTATTAAAAAAAATTGTCCACTCGGATAACATGTGACAAAAATATTTGTACAAGAAGTTGTTATTTGTTAAAATTACGAGGTTTTACGATTATTGACAATAATTCTTTCATGTTATCTCCCTTGTAGAAAAAAAAAACAAAAAAGAACAATAGAAAACGCACTTGTGAGCGTTTTTCTCCGCGATTGTAGACACGTAACGTCTTTGAAGTAGTATCTTTTAATTTTGTAGCAAGAACAGATCGACAGCGTGGAGTACTTCGCACTGCAGGCCAGCGAGCACGTGGAGAGCGGCGGCCAGGAGTTGCTGCGCGGCTCCGTGGGCCGGCGGCGCGCACGCAAGGTCAGTGTGCGTGTGCGTGTGCGTGTGCAGGGTGCTCCGCTAGCTTTGCTATTTGTCATTGCCTGTTTGTTCTTCAATTGTGATACAGTGCTTACCCTTATCGAACATCTCATACACATCATATACACAACGTGTATTAAAAGAAATATTACACTACTTTTTTTCCTGCAATTTCTATTTATTATGCACAAGATGAGCTTTATTATTATTATCATGCAGCGAGTTGAGGGCACCGACAGCTATCTAACTTTTCCACCCCGCCCTCAACATGGCTATTGACAGGCCACCGATACAACTATCACACTGCTCCAGCAAATGCAATGCTCCAGCTCTGGCCGCTCTGGCAGCTCAGGGTGCTCGGGGCGCTTAGGGCGCACACCAACACTCACAATTAAAGATAGCGCCTCGCCCCCGACCACGCTCGATGCAAGTCCTCTGCTCTCATTGGTCGTTATGAAAATAACAATTTATGCTAAGTTGTAACAAAACAATGTAAAATAAAATAAATCACGATTAAGACATTTTTTTTCAGAAGAAAATCGGTCTCATCATTTGCTTGGCGTCAGGATTCCTTATCGTGCTGTTTGTACTGGTATACACGTAGCGAGGACCACATCGCCTGGCAGGGGGCTCGGAAGACCTAATATATAGTAGGGAAAGGTGGGGTACAGTTTTAAAAACTATTAGAATGCCGCGATAAAAACATTGATTTGTTCAGCTAGTATTAGGCATGGATATAAACTATAACAACACCTTTTTAATTACAATTTCTCAAAGATAAACATTATTAATAACAACTTTACAAATGTCAACATAGAGACAGAGACAGAGACAGAGACAGAGACATATGCATTGTAGCACTGCACCCTACCTTACTCTAGACTAATTATTTATAATGTATTTAATCTTAAGATTACTAGTCATTTATTTTTTTTCTTCAAAATAAATACAGTCAACAAACAAAACGTTGTTTTCCTTTAAGAACCTTTTTTGGCAGTCATTCTGCTACCACTTCAAAAAAGGAGTGAGTCAATATGGCGAAATATATTGTAGCACTTACTAAAAAATGTACCTAAAATGTACAGGATACATTAGTACCTTGCTAAAAAAAAGTACCTCCTCTAGAACTAAATTATAACGTCCCCCAAAAAAATGTAAAATATATAATACTGCCGAGTCTCGCTTTCCGTATAAAAGAGCGTTAGATGTTATGTAAAACCTAGGTAGGTAGGTGGTTTCTTATAACTTAAACTTAAAACAATCTTAAGTTTGTCAATTGGATTCCATCCACATTTATCCCAAGACCTTCACAATTTAAACATCTGAATCTGATCTGATTCCAATACTGCGGTAAATAATTTTGGAGATAAGGGATCGCCTTGCCTGACTCCTTTTTCCACCCTGAATGTTTCACCTCTTTACTCTAGTTGAGTTCTCGCAGTACTGTGTAAACATTTTTGATTAAGCGAATGTATTTATGAGGGATCCCTTGATCTCTTAGTGTTTTCCATATTTCTTCGTGGAGTAAGGAATCAAAGGCTTTGCTGTAATCAATAAAAGCGATGTAGTATGTTCTTTGATATTCCTTATACTTTTCTAGGATTTGACGTACTACATGAATATGGTCTATCACTGAGTAATGTTTGCGAAAGCCTGCCTGCTCTATTGGTTGTTGTTCGTCTAATATTCTTTCAACACGTTTTAACAGAATTTTGGCGAATATTTTGTATATATTAGACATAAGGCCAATAGGTCGGTAATTTTCAATTAGGTGTTTGTCTCCTTTTTTTTTGTATAATAAGATAATGTTCGACTCTGTCCATTGTTTGGGTGTAATTTCCGTGTCTCTGAGGTCGTTAAAGATTTCTGCGAGAATTGGTGCGAGTTTTCCGTCAATTCTACTACTTCTTGTATATCCAGGTTTTTGTAAAGTTTCTTATAGTAAGATGTGGCAGTAAGTAATATATCTGTTCTGCGAGGATTCAAGTTTCGTCTATTGGTTTTTAATGTCTACAAACCATTCTTTTGACTATTTTTTTTTTGGCGCCACCAGTTTCCGTAATATTTTTCTCCATTATTTCTAATCTGTTTCGTTTTCTATCTGCTCTGATACTCTGCTTTATTGTTTTACTGATTTCTGTTAATTTCGCTCTTCTATTCTTTACATCTTTTGTACTTATTAAATAGTTCCTTTGTTCCATTAGTTTTAAAGTATTTGTCCTTAGCCATATCTTCTGGTTATTTTTCGTATTGCTTTTTGTGGACTGAATTAAGAAGAAGAAAAAGAAGAACAAGAAGGAAATTTCATTATATCGAAGGCGTTTGATCTATTTGCTTTGAGGGAACTTGGCATTTGATTTTTTTTTGATGGTAATTGTGGTGATGTAGATAGCTTCCTTTTTCTTTTATCTGCGTTAGTATTTTGTTCTATTACTATGAGTTGATAACATTTAGTGAAAGCATTGTTTCCTTTTTCTTTTCTTCGTTTAATTTTCTCATTAAAGCTTTTCGTTTTTCCAAAACTTCTTTTGTGGAATCCTCAGAAAGGTGAATGTCTTTCAAATTTCTTTTATTCTTCAACATTTATTCCTTCTTCCATTTGTTTATAAATGAACATAATATTGGTCTTGGTTTATGTGCAATTTAATTTTTAACTAGACGATATACATAACTTATTTATTTCGCGTTGTTCTAAATCTATGTTTATGTTTGTAAGGTAATTAGAGATAGATAGACGTTTAAGTAAACATTTAATATAAATATAATAGTCGTAGGGTAGATAGAATAAATCAGTGAATACGCAGCTCGTCTTTGATTCAACACCTCTCGTTTATAAAAATAACATAACATGGCGCAGCCGGTAGGATAGTGGAATTTTTTGGCTAATTAAGTGTAAAAAGTATAAGAGACAAATAAAGTGGAACAAACAAGTTTTCACAAGTGTGAATAGTGCATATCAAAATGAATAACGCGCTGCGACCGCCGCCGCCATTTTGCTTTGATAATACTTTAGTGAATATTACGTCTGGAAAGCTAGGTCGTGAATGGAATAAATGGAGAAACGGCTTTAACATTTACAAGAAGGCCATCCAGCTGGACAAGGAGTCTGCGGATGTTCAGGTGAACGTGTTGCTACATGTCGCCGGCGAGAGGTGTCAGGAAATTTATTATGAACAATTTAACGAACAATATGTCTCAGCAGACTCTTCTGAGTAAAATAACAATCGAACTTTATACGTAACTCTTTACGTATAAAGTTCGATTGTTATTTTTGCAGTAAAAACAATTTGAGTATCAAAAGACATCTATTTTTTGAGCGTAAACAAAACAAGAGTGAGTCACTGGAGCGATACATAATTGATTTAAATAAACTTTCGTTGGAGTATGATTTTAAAAGTTTACGCGAAGACTTGATTAAAGGATCGCAACCTTACACTCAAGAAAACTATTGAAATATGCAAATTAGCAGAGATTTCAAGAGCTCATGCAGATTTTATTAAGCGCAACAGTCAAGTCGACAAACAGTTAAAGCCTGAAACAAATACAAATACAGTCCAACAGTCAAGCATAAGCGCGACCGGTAAAACGTGCACGTGCGGTAGTGTGAACCGGAAGCGGGCCGGCAGTTTGGCGCGGCTGGCTCACGGCGAGCGCCCGGTAACGACATCGCGGCGGCCGGCGGGAGAAAATTACCAATAGCTTTGCGAGACAAAATAAAACAAAAATTAGATGAACTAGTTGATCAAGGAATCATTTCTAAACTCGAGGGCCCTACCGACTGAGTAAATAGTATGACGGTTACCATATTTGCATAACGCGACATGCGATTTTCGAGTTTCGACTTTCGAGTTTTCGATAAGCGATATGCGTTATGCGCTATGCGCTTTTCACTGTGCGCTATGCGTTATGCGCTATGCGCTATGTGCATACCGCGATATGCGATTTTCGAGTTTCGATTTTCGATTTTCGAGTTTTCGATAAGCGATACACGTTATGCGCTATGCGTTATGCGCTAAGCGCTATGCGCTATGCGCTATGTGCATAACGCGATATGCGATTTTCGATTTTCGAGTTTCGAGTTTCGAGTTTTCGATAAGCGATACGCGATATGCGCTATGCGCTATGTGTAAGGTAATTAGAGATAGATGGACGTTTAAGTAAACAGTTAATATAAATATAATAGTCGTAGGGTAGATAGAATAAATCAGTGAATACGCAGCTCGTCTTTGATTCAACACCTCTCGTTTATAAGAATAACATAACATGGCGCAGCCGGTAGGATAGTGGAATTTTTTGGCTAATTTAGTGTAAAAAGTATAAGAGACAAATAAAGTGGAACAAATAAGTGTTCACAAGTGTGAATAGTGCATATCAAAATGAATAACGCGCTGCGACCGCCGCCGCCATTTTGCTTTGATAATACTTTAGTGAATATTACGTCTGGAAAGCTAGGTCGTGAATGGAATAAATGGAGAAACGGCTTCAACATTTACAAGAAGGCCATCCAGCTGGACAAAGAGTCTGCGGATGTTCAGGTGAACGTGTTGCTACATGTCGCCGGCGAGAGGTGTCAGGAAATTTATTATGAACAATTTAACGAACAATATGTCTCTGCAGAAGAGTTACTTCTAAAGTTCGATTGTTATTTTTGCAGTAAAAACAATTTGAGTATCAACAGGCAACTATTTTTTGAGCGTAAACAAAACAAGAGTGAGTCACTGGAGCGATACATAATTGATTTAAATAAACTTTCGTTGGAGTGTGATTTTAAAAGTTTACGCGAAGACTTGATTAAAGATAGATTAATATATGGTATAATAGATGACGCCCTACGTGAAAAGTTACTATTGGAACGCAACCTTACACTCAAGAAAACTATTGAAATATGCAAATTAGCAGAGATTTCAAGAGCTCATGCAGATTTTATTAAGCGCAACAGTCAAGTCGACAAACAGTTAAAGCCTGAAACAAATACAAATACAGACCAACAGTCAAGCATAAGCGCGACAGGTAAAATGTGCACGTGCGGTAGTGTGAACCGGCAGCGGGCCGGCAGTTTGGCGCGGCTGGCTCACGGCGAGCGCGCGGTAACGACATCGCGGCGGCCGGCGGGAGCGGCGCAGTGGCAACGCAGCGCGTGCAGCCGCTGCGGCACGGTGCATTCTATGTATCAGTGCCCGGCGTACGGGAAGATGTGTACAAAGTGTTATAAATTAAATCATTATACAAATATGTGCCGCGCGGGACGCGTACATGCCGTGCAGGTGGGCTCATCGGATCTGGTATGTGACAATTCTTTATTATTTAAAAAGAGCGATTGGGTGGTGGAGATTACGATTAATAATTTTGTATTAAGGATAAAATTGGACACGGGAGCTGACGTGAACGTTTTGCCGAGTAAATTTTTGAAAAAAATAGGCTTATATAAGGGTAATTTAATTCCTACTTCTACTAAATTGATAGGGTACTCTGGTGCGTCAATAGAGGTTCTAGGAAAATGCAATTTAAAAGTTAAATACAAAAATAGTGAGTATATTTTAAAGTTTATTGTAGCTAATGTGAGTTCTGTACCTATATTAGGACGACAGTCGTGTGAAGAATTAAACGCTGTGCGTCGTGTGTTGGCCATTAACGACCACATAAATACGAATGAGGTTCTAAAGGATTTTGAAGACGTATTTCAGGGTATGGGATGCTTGCCGGGGGAATATAAAATACAAATAAGGGAAAATATTACTCCTGTCATTCATGCGCCGCGAAAATTACCAGTAGCTTTGCGAGATAAAATAAAACAAAAATTAGATGAACTAGTTGATCAAGGAATCATTTCTAAAGTCGAGGGCCCTACCGACTGGGTAAATAGTATGACGGTTGTTAAAAAGCCTGATGGTGATATCCGTATTTGCTTAGATCCAAAGGATTTAAATAAAGCTATAAGACGGGAATATTTTAAATTGCCGACGTTAAATGAAATTACATCTAGGCTATCGGGCGCAAACTTTTTTAGTACTCTCGATGCAAAACAGTCATTTTTTCAAGTGAAACTGCATAATAGTTCGACCACATTGTGTACTTTTAACACGGCCTTTGGACGATATAAATTTTTACGTATGCCGTTTGGAATTTCTTCCGCTTCAGAAGTTTTTCACAAAAAACTTTATGAGTTTTTCGACGACATAGACGGTGTTATCCTATTTGTAGACGATTTATTAGTGTTCGGTCCGACACGGCAAATTCACGATGAGCGGTTACGACGGGTGTTGCAAAGATGCAGGGAAATTAATATAAAGTTAAACAAAAATAAATGTAAAATAGGATTAACGGAATTGAAATATTTAGGGCATAAAATTTCGAAGAATGGTATTTCACCCGATGATTCGCATACAACAGCCGTACAAAACATGCCTGCGCCGAAAAATGTAAAGGATTTAGAAAGATTTTTAGGTCTTATCAATTATGTAGGAAGTTTTATATCTAACCTTTCAGAGAGGACATATTTACTTAGAGAACTTTTGAAAAAATCTGTCGAATGGCACTGGGATGAGCGACATGACAAGTGTTTTAAAGATCTAAAAACATGTTTAGTCAGTCCACCGGTGTTAAGGTATTACAGTTTAGAGAAACCAGTCACGGTTTCAGTAGATGCTAGCAAGCACGGACTAGGCGCGTGCCTTATGCAAGATGGCGCGCCTGTCTGCTACGCCTCCAAGTCGCTCACCCCAGCGGAGCAGCGGTACGCGCAAATTGAAAAGGAGCTGTACGCGTGCGTATTTGCCTGTGAGAAATTTTACGCATATATTTATGGTCGCGGCGATGTGACAATAGAAACGGATCATAAGCCTCTCGTTAGCATAATACATAAACCGATATCCGAGGCTCCTGCACGATTGCAGAGAATGCTGTTGAGATTGCAGCCATATTCGTTTACACTTGTATACAAACCAGGAAAATATTTGTACGTAGCGGACACACTGTCGCGTGCAGTGGCGCCAGTGGCAGGGCCGAGTGAGGGCGCGCGTGAGCATTGGGCGATGCGCGCACAGGTGTGCGCGGTCGCGATGAGTAACCCTCTAATAGATTCACACTTTTTAGAGCTGCAGCGTAACACAAAACTTGATGATGAAATGCAATTACTAATTAAGACTATTAAAAAAGGTTGGCCTGAACAAAAAAATAAATTAGAATATACATTACGTCCTTATTGGGACTTCAGAGATGAGCTCACGATAGACTTTGACATGGTTTGGAAAGGTTCAAAGATTGTCATACCCAAATGCATGCGCAAAGAAATGTTAGTTAAAATTCACTTAGGACATTTAGGCGCGGAGAAATGTAAAAATAGGGCTCGCGAAGTAATGTATTGGCCTAATATGAATTCGCAAATCATAGACATGATATCACGTTGTCAAGCATGTCTCACTTACCGAAAACATAATATCAAGGAATGTCTTATACCTCATGAGATACCCAATAGGGCGTGGTCAAAGATAGGGGCGGATATTTTTCATTTTGCAAATAGGCCATACTTACTAGTCATTGATTATTATAGTAAATATATTGAAGTAAGCGAGTTAAATACCACGACCTCCTTGGAAGTTATTGATAATTTAAAAAACATCTTTAGCAGGCAAGGCATTCCCGACATTTTAATGTCTGACAACGGTCCAGAGTTTGTTTCACGAAATTTTAAACGTTTTGAGACGGAATGGAAATTTAAACATATCACATCTTCACCGCGTTATCCACAATCTAACGGCCAGGTAGAAAGGGCCATACAGACCGTTAAGAACATGCTGAAAAAGACACATTACGATCAGTCGGATTTTCGTTTAGCGCTTTTAGAGTATTTAAATTGTCCTATTAGTGCCGATTTAGCGTCCCCTGCTCAGCTTTTAAATAACCGTATACTTAGAGGTATTTTACCGAGAGCACCAACATTTTTAGAACCCAGATTGATCAATAGAAATGTAATAAAAGAAGGGTTACAAAATAGGCAGGATCATCAAAAGTTTTATTATGATAAAACTAGTAAGCGGCTAAAGAGTTTTCGTCCAGGTGAAAAAGTTAAAGCGTTAGTGAATAGAAATTGGCTCAACGGTGTTATAACAAAGTACGTTGGTTACCGTTCGTATCTTATTAAATTGATGTCGGGTCGTGAGATACGAAGAAACCGAAGACATATAATAAAAGATAATGAACAACGTAATGACTCATACGTGTCGCCGTACGACGCCGACGAATTTAACGCCGTTTTGGATACGCAATCGCCTCGCGCCCGTGTCCACATTCAGCCGTCGTCTACTTCCACCCAATCACTATTAAATGGAAGTCGCGAAGACAACAATTTGTATGTTACAAAATTTGGCAGGACGGTGAGGCCTCCTGAGCGGTATGGATATTAACAATAACGTTCTTAAGTTAGTCAACCAATCATATAAGACCAATATTTTATATGTACAATTATGTGTGCTATAAACTTAACTTGTGTCATGAAATGTCTCGTCATATATAATCACGCACTTTGTATGTTTATTTCAAATTTGATGTGCATGTGTAATACTAGTAAACTAAGCTGATGATTTTTTTTATATAATATGTACATACTATTAAAAGAAGGGAGATGTAAGGTAATTAGAGATAGATAGACGTTTAAGTAAACAGTTAATATAAATATAATAGTGGTAGGGTAGATAGAAGAAATCGGTGAATACGCAGCTCGTCTTTGATTCAACACCTCTCGTTTATAAAAATAACATAACATTGGGCTGATGTTATGCCTTCAGGGCTTATCCACAGCCTTTGGGCTTATGTTATGCCTTTGGGCTTATGTTATGCCTTCAGGGCCTATTCCACAGCCTTCGGGCCTATGTTATGCCTTCGGGGCCCATCCACAGCCTTTGGGCTTATGTTATGCCTTTTGGGCCTATCCACAGCCTC